GGAGGGGATCCGAACACTCATGGACTGAATGGTTATATGTGCAATGAGGATAATCTGTCGACTAACACACACATACCCACACACTCATAAGTTGAAACACATTGATACACACATACCCACACACTCATAAGTTGAAACACATTGATACACACATACCCACACACCCATAAGTTGAAACACATTGATACACACATACCCACACACTCATAAGTTGAAACACATTGATACACACATACCCACACACTCATAAGTTGAAACACATTGATACACACATACCCACACACTCATAAGTTGAAACACATTGATACACACATACCCACACACTCATAAGTTGAAACACATTGATACACACATACCCACACACTCATAAGTTGAAACACATTGATACAAAAACACACAAACTTATTTTTACACACATAAACATACGCTCATATGTACACACACATATGTTCACGCACTCAAGCCTACACACAAACACCCACACTCATATTTAGACATACGTATAAACACAAGTGCATATACATCCATATAATATACACACTCACTCGTGTATTCACACACACCTCATACATACAAACACATACATATTCATAAACACGCGCTCATACATTCCCATTCATAAGCCGACACTAATTTGTGCACACTCATATATACGCTACTTATACTTACCTACATACACTCAAACATACACACACAGATATAAACATCTGTATACCACCATCTTTGTGTCTCACTTACATCTTATAATGATCAAGATGATGATGATAATAATGCATTACAATTTTGTTGACTGAATTATGAGGGTCGCGACCCATAGGCAGAGAACCGCCGATGTAGAGGACGGTTCAATAAATAGGGTGACCATAATATCTTGAGCTCAGAAATGGACATCGACAAGCGAGTCAGTTTACTTCACCCTCCAGGTCATAGGGATAAAAAGGTGTTACTGGCTGGTCAAACCCGAGCTAAAATCCCGATGACATAAGCGAAACCCAGATGTTTTGAAAGAGGCAAATGTTGGAAGACAACTGAACATACACACCAGAAAGGAAAGAGACAATCAACATTTGTTGGTCATGTTACGAGGAGATGGAAACTTGAATATTTTATGGCCACTGGGAGTATCTATGGAGAGAGACACAGAAGGACAGCGGGAGAAGATTCTTGACAGCCCTTCGTCATGGAACGGAGGGGCGTCAACACCCGAACTGACACAGTTACGGATCAAAGATTATGCAGAGGCTTTATCGCCCAAGCCCGCCGGCAAGGCACTTGATAATAATATTCTCGGCCTAGGGGAGATGTCATGAACTTGGTCGTTTGCTGTTGGAACACTGGACTGAATCAATTAGAATTGGGAATATTTTGTAATAGGCTTGTATGCACAAATCTGGCTTTGTTAAAAATTTAGCGTTTGCTGAATGACAGACATTTTGTTAGTTAAGGCGACAAAGAGAATTCTTAAAATCTGTGTAAATCCTATGTTGATTTACGGAAGTGAATCATGTATAGTTAATAGATTGGTGAGAAATTATTTGGAAGCTGCGGAGATGTGGTTTTATAGACGAGTGATGAGAATACCGTGGACAGATGAAAATTAAAAATAAAAAGTAAAGAGAATGTCTTGAAAGAAACTGACTGAGAGCAATAATTGCCCGTATCAGAAAGAGACAATCTACATTCTTTGGTCATGTGATGAGAATGAGAAAACTGGAGTACATCGTGACGGTAGGAAAGATGAAGGGGAGGAGAGGCAGAGGGGGACCGAGAGAACAGATGCTGGACAGTCTGACCTTATGGTATGGAGGATCATCTGTTTCTGAGTTGATTGAAAGTACTTAAGAAAAATATTTTCATACAGAAAGTGATAAACTCTGGCAAGTCGATAAACACTTTTTTCTACTTTTTCTTTTCTTTATTAATGACGCGAACATGAGACTCAAGATAAACAATAACAAGACAGCGAAAGAAAAATTGAAGCATTAACTGAACATATAAAGCTACACTAAAAACTGATTGACAAAAAGTTCAACTGACAACTGAATCAATACTGCTGCTATAACAATTGTCTGGGACAACCAGTTTCCTGTAACCATCAAAAGGACAGTTGCTATGACAACTGATTGAGACAGTTACCATGACAACTGATCGGGGAAGTTTCTATGACAACTGATAGGGACAGTTGCTATATCCACCAGTACACCCATAATGGGTTTCTTGACAACCGAGTGGGTTGAAGCAAACATAGGGTGGAATAGTTGGGTTCGATTCTTTGCTTTACTCCAGATAGTATTAACCGCTGCGCATATAAAAGCACTACACACACTGATTCAAATGATTTTCCCTTCGTATTTCTCACGATTTACTGTATTCACCAAGAACCACTAAGTGCGCTGCACCCAACGTCTGTGACAGCCCCACATGAGCCCGTGTTGATCAGCTCAACTGGCACCACCCGACAACCGTCGGATGCAGAACTTCCAGGGGACCTGGGTCTCAGTGTCCAGGAGTACGCCAACATAGGGAAGCTGGTCTTTGATTACTGCAGGCAAATGTCTGTGCATCACCACACTGCTGCCTCCCAGGGCGTGACATACTCACCTGGGAACGGGAACATGTAAGTGTGTCTAGCGTTCATTAACAGGTAACGGGAACATGTAAGTGTGTCTGGCGTTCATTAACAGGAAACAGGAACATGTAAGTGTGTATGGCGTTCATTAACAGGGAACAGAAACATGTAAGTGTGTCTAGTGTTCATCAACATTGGAACGGGAACATGTAAGTGTATCTGGTGTTCATTAACAGGGAACAGAAATAGGTAAGTGTGTCTGGTGTTCATCAACAGGGAACGGAAATAGGTGAGTGTATCTGGTGTTCATTAACAGGGAACGGAAATAGGTAAGTGTGTCTGGTGTTCATCAACAGTGAACGGAAATAGGTAAGTGTATCTGGTGTACAGGGAACAGAAACATTAAGGTGTTCATCAACAGAGAACGGAAACATGTAAGTGTATCTGGTGTTTATCAATGTCTGGCCGGTTGGTGTCTGGAAACATATGACACATCGCATGTGTTTTGTTTCACTCGAGATGGAAAGTTTAATCCTCTCACACCCTGCTCGCTTTCTTCATGCCAAGTATATCCATGCACTAGCCTATACATTCTCTCTTCCCTTCTACATATTGTCTATGTACTAGCCTATACATTCTCTCTCCCCTTCTACATATTGTCTATGTACTAGCCTATACATTCTCTCTCCCCGTCTACATATTGTCTATGTACCAATACATACTCTCTTCCTCCCCATATACTGTCTGTGTAATGTAGTAGTACATATAATTATCCCTTCCCCCCCCCCCCCCCCACATATGTGTGGTAGTACATATAATTATCCCTTCCCCCTCCACATATGTGTGGTAGAACATATAATTATCTCTTCCCCTCCATATGTGTGGTAGTACATATAATTATCCCTTCTCCTCCGCATATGTGTGGTAGAACATATAATTATCCCTTCCCCTCCACATATGTGCGTGGTAGTACATATAATTATCCCTTTCCCTCCACATGTGTGTGTTAGTACATATAATTATCCCTTTCCTCTCCACATGTGTGTGTTAGTACATATAATTATCCCTTTCCTCTCCACATGTGTGTAGTAGTACATATAATTATCTCTTTCCTCTCCACATATGTGTGGTAGTACATATAATTATCCCTTCCCCTCCACATATGTGTGTGGTAGTACATATAATTATCCCTTTCCCCTCCATATGTGTGTGGTAGTACATATAGTTATCTATTTCTCTTTAAATATTGTCTTGTGTGGAAGTAACTAGCCTGGTGCAAATAACACACATCCTAGAATGTGTCTGTAACAAACTCAGTTAGTCAGAAATCATAAACCAATCATACATGACCTGAGATGTGATTCTCTAACAGCTTTCACCAACAGTAATGAGCCATACTAACTGTCCTTACAGGTCAATCCATATTGAGCACGCTGATGTAGTCAGTTTCAACGGTATGGTCAACGTATTTCCAGCTGGACACCAGGGCCACCATGACGAGACGGACACGCATGACTGAAGGTCATCTGGGGCAAACCATACCGGTCATGCATGTTTCACTGGAACGTTCTCATACATCACATAGGTTTGGTAATGTGTGCTCAACAATGAAATGTAATACGTCTTATATAGATCTAGTAATGTGTGCTCAACCGTGACATGTAATACGTCACATATAGATCTAGTAATGTGTGCTCAACCGTGACATGTAATACCTTACTGAGAGAACCACTAGTCAATCTTCCTGTAACCCACAAGAAGACAACTACTAGTCAACCTTCCTGGAACCCACAAACTGACAAGTACAACCACCAGTCAACCGTCCTGGAACCCACAAATGACAACAAATATAACCACTAGTCAACCTTCCCGGAACCCACGAACTGACAACAAATACAACCACTAGTTAACCTTCCTAGAACCCACAAACTAACAACCACTAGCCAATCTCCCTGGTATTCACAAACTGACAACAAATACAACTACTAGTCAATCTTCCTGTAACTAACAACAAGACAACAAACACAACCACTAGTCAATCTCCCTGGCTAGTGGTTGTACTTGATACAATACACTTATGTAATGGAACAGCAACAGACACACAATAATTTACAACAAAATGCTCAAGAATGGTCAATGAAATTTAATTGTGAAATTGCAAAGTCTATACACAGATGGAGCCAGGCAGTACAGACAGCTGAATTCAATGTTTTGTGACACTTCTGTACTCGTACATGACAGACATGAGTGGAGCAGCTTCAGTAGAAGCTCTAGAATGGCAGTTACAATGTGGTGTGTGTGTACATGGTGGTAATGAATCCAGGTGTTCAAGTTAAAAAAAAAAGAGAAATCTTAAATCTAGACTACATACAATATGAGAAATGAGGTTAGACAAATGACAACATCAAAGATGAAACAAAACCAGATGTGCTTATGCTGCCTTCTGTGATCCCTTCTTTCCTATCAGAGATTTGTGAATGTGGGGGATGACACCTGGGGACACACAAGAGAAAACATGAGCAACTGAACTTGTTTTGTAGACATTACCTCAAATACTCTATGACAATAACTGAGATGTTCTGACAGCAGAGATATTTACAACTGTATGCAAGTGCAGACACTGATAGCTGTATCATTTTCCTAGGCTGCTGTTTAAGTACTGCACTTACCATCATGTAGCAGAACATAGCTCTCATCACAGTCTGCCTGAAAGAAAATCGGTCTCTCGCCAGTTTTCCCGGCTCATGTACTTTCATACTCAAGGAGTCACTTATATTCTGTGCCCATCTTCGTGTCGGTCAGCCCCTGCCTCTACTTCCTGGTACAATGCCTTCAGCTATAACTTTTTCCAATCCATCGTGGTGCTTGATATGACCAAAATATTTCAGCTCCCAAGAAAGGATGCAGTTTATTAGCCAATCTTCCTTGATGTTCAGATCTTTTAAGATGTCAGTATTTCTCCTCTTCTTTGTCCAAGATATTCTGAGAATCTTTCTATAGCATTTCAGCTCAAAAGCCCCTTTTCTCTTCCTTAAGGACTGAGAGATAGTCCACGACTCACATCCGTATGTAGCCACAGGAAAGATGCATGCTCTCAAAATTCTAATTTTGATCTCCTTGCTGGTGCTTAACCATAGACTTTTAAGGCTGTTCAATCTTTGCATTGCCATGGCCATCCTCCTTTTAATTTCTGTCGAACAGCCTCCATTGTTGTTTATTATAGAGCCTAGATATTCAAAGTTTGTGACATTTTCAATTTCTTCATCATTTATTGTCATTTTTGGGTGACAGCCAGTTTTTATCTGTGGACATTAATTTTGTTTTCTTTAAAATAAAGAACAGATTTTGATTTTCACTGTGCTTTTGGACAGACAATTACATTTTCTGAAGTACTTCACTATGGCAGATTGACAAGTGAAAACAATATAATTTTCTCCAGTTGTGCTTGAAGTACTGAAAAATTGGCAAACACGACCAGGTATTCCTGCTACATTGCTACGATGAGGGCAAAAAGGTTACCATCTCTACTCTATACTATAAATAATATTCAGCAATTGAGTTTTTGTATAAGGCAAAGCACTATTCCTGCTAACTGTGTGCTCTCTGTCAGTGTCAGACTGGGACAGCCTTCAACAAAACAACAACTTTGTGCTATCTGTCAGTGTCAGACTGGGACAGTCCTGTGGCAGGGAAAAACACACAAACAAGAAACCCACGAAGAACAACAGAAACTTTGGTCGTCTGATCAGAACCAGCCTGCAGCTAGAGCACTTCATCAGAACCAGCCTGCAGCTAGAGCACTTCATCAGAATCAGCCTGCAGCTAGAGCACTTCATCAGAACCAGCCTGCAGCTAGAGCACTTCATCAGAACCAGCCTGCAGCTAGAGCACTTTATCAGAACCAGCCTGCAGCTAGAGCACTTCATCAGAATCAGCCTGCAGCTAGAGCACTTCATCAGAATCAGCCTGCAGCTAGAGCACTTTATCAGAACAGCCTGCAGCTAGAGCACTTCATCAGAACCAGCCTGCAGCTAGAGCACTTCATCAGAACCAGCCTGCAGCTAGAGCACTTCATCAGAACCAGCCTGCAGCTAGAGCACTTTATCAGAATCAGCCTGCAGCTAGAGCACTTCATCAGAACCAGCCTGCAGCTAGAGCACTTCATCAGAACCAGCCTGCAGCTAGAGCACTTCATCAGAACCAGCCTACAGCTAGAGCACTTCATCAGAACCAGCCTGCAGCTAGAGCACTTCATCAGAACAGCCTGCAGCTAGAGCACTTCATCAGAATCAGCCTGCAGCTAGAGCACTTCATCAGAACAGCCTGCAGCTAGAGCACTTCATCAGAATCAGCCTGCAGCTAGAGCACTTCATCAGAACCAGCCTGCAGCTAGAGCACTTCATCAGAACAGCAGGCTACAAGGCAAAAGCTACACAGCACTCATCTACGAGGCCTAATGGCAGTAATATAACAGAAAATGTTAACGCTAACGGCAGGTAGGAACAGGGGTATGAAGTGTTACAGAATTGAACCACTGTCACATGACAAGCATGCCCCAAAAGCTGAAGTGTTACAGAACAGAACCACTGTCATATGACAAGCATGCCACAAAAGCTGAAATGTTACAGAACAGAACTACTGTCACATGAAAAGCATGCCACAAAAGCTGAAGTGATACAGAATAGAACCAACCACTGTCATGTGAAAAAAGCTGAAGTATTACAGAACAGAACTGCTATCAGGTGACAAGCATGTCACAAAAAGTAAAGTGTTACAGAACATAAATACTGTCATGTAACAAGCACGCCACAAAAGGTAAAGTGTTACAGAACATAAATACTGTCACGTAACAAGCACGCCACAAAAAGTAAAGTGTTACAAAACATAAATACTGTCATGTAACAAGCACGCCACAAAAAGCCAGTAATTATGCATTTGCTGAAAATGAATGTGTTGGAGCCAAAAGATTTTCGTAAACCACAAGATGGCAACTTCCCATTGAAGCAAGAACACAGAAGAAGAAACTAGTTCTACCCTACCCTATACACCAAGACAATGGACACAGCTACAACAAGTGGTCTGAGACTGTGTGCCACTACATGTGGTCTGAAACTGTGTGCTACAACAAGTGGTCTGAAACTGTGTGCCACTACAAGTGGTCTGAAACTGTGTGCCACTACATGTGGTCTGAAACTGTGTGCTACTACAAGTGGTCTGAAACTGTGTGCCACTACATGTGGTCTGAAACTGTGTGCCACTACAAGTGGTCTGAAACTGTGTGCCACTACAAGTGGTCTGAAACTGTGTGCCACTACAAGAGAACTGGTGTACTCACCACCTCCAGCAATGGTTGCCTTGATCAGGGAGTCCAGTTCTTCATCACCTCTAATAGCCAGCTGCAAGTGACGGGGCGTAATACGTTTGACCTTCAGATCTTTGCTAGCATTGCCTGCCAACTCCAACACCTGACAATGATGGAGACGTGTGTTCTAGACACAGGCAGGCATATGTAGGGCACATGCAAACAAAAACACATTCACTCTTTCAACCAAGACAATGCTTTATGTGCTTTTGGCTACTCTCCACATCTCATCAAGTGTCTTCTTATATTTAAATTTTAGTCACTATATGCTTAAAAAATCTGGTAATCACATGGGTATTTTTCATTGATTCCTACAACACAGCAAGTGCTTAAGAGTTTTCATGAGAAAATTTAATTTTAAAAATTAAAGATTTTGTACAAGAGTTTAGGTAGGTATCAATGAGATATGACTGAACTATCATGAGAGCAGTCGGTGCTAGCTGTTGTCTATTATATTACTAAAGGTAGACCAGTATAGACTGCTTAGTGTTCAGCAGCTCTGGTGGCAAGTTCTGGACTTGAGCCTAGTTCCCCAAGCTGGTTCTGGACTTGAGCCTAGTTCCCCAAGCTGGTTCTGGACTTGAGCCTAGTTCCCCAAGCTGGTTCTGGACTTGAGCCTAGTTCCCCAAGCTGGTTCCTCTCCCTGTCTATACAAATATGTTTGGGACAGAAGTCAGCCTCCAGCTGGACTGACTATGATTCCTCTCTCTCTGTCTTTAAAACAAATAGTTGGTATTCAGGAGCGTTTATAAAGATTGTATTGTCACAAACGAGCGTGCTCAGGCACTCAGGGAATCCGGTCTGAGATAAATGTGTGTCAAAGAAATGTTGTTAATGTGCCCAAGTCATTGCTGTACACAATTATTCAATGGTTCACAATCTATTATTTTTATTCTAATTTTCTACCTTTATTTCTGAACAATAATGTTCCAGCAAATCAATGAAATAACTTGACAAGCCAGTCTTGTCTAATACATGTGTTACTGCTGCCTACTACAACTGATACAAGTATAACAGGATATCATACGTTACTGCTGCTTACTACAACTGATACAAGTATAACATTATATCAGACGTTACTGCTGCCTACTACAACTGATACAGGTATAACAGGATATCATACGTTACTGCCTACTACAACTGATACAAGTATAACAAGATATCAATCATATTAACTCTTTGAGTCCCAAGGAACATATCATGTGTTACTGCCTACTACAACTGATACAAGTATCACAAGATATCAATCATATTAACTCTTTGAGTCCCAAGGAACATATCATGTGTTACTGCCTACTACAACTGATACAAGTATAACAAGATTTCAATCATATTAACTCTTTGAGTCCTTAGGAACATATCATGTGTTACTGCCTACTACAACTGATACAAGTATAACAAGATATTAATCATATTAACTCTTTGAGTCCCAAGGAACATATCATAGGTTACTGCCTAGAAGCCCAATGAATGCATGATGCGCCGATTTTAGTCTCTTTTGAATACCCCTTGGGCCTGTGATGCTAAACCCTCTGGAACTCAAAGAGTTAAAACTCTCGACTAAGATCTGGCAGTTTGTTGCATTTTCTAGAGTTTAGAGTCAGTAAAGTCCTTATGCATTGCTGGATGTTTTATGGGATAAACCATTCAAGAATTTCACAATAATCAGCTCTTAAAAATAATCTGACTTTGTTGGGACTGTCACGAGAGAACAAATTGTGAGGTTAGCATACAAGCAGAGCAACAAAAGTACTTACTTCAGTTGAATGATAGTACTAATATTGGTTCTTTTCTGTTAAGTCACCACATCACCTGAGAATTAGGGAAATCCCATAGTATAGGAATCTATCCTAACTGAAAGTGAAAGGAAGGGTGTGGTGGGGGAAGAAAAGTGTGGGGGTGTGGCCTTTGCCCGCCATATTTAAACCTGAACAGTTATATTTCTAAACCTGGATACACAAGTCTCAACATTAGTCAGATAATGGGTCAATTTTAAGTTAAGGAAAGAAGTCTACAGAGCTGGGTCACATCAGCCAGTAGTAAGAGTGAAACAATATTCAACACAAGGCAGTTGACCTGACGAGGCTGGAGTATTATATATTATCATGTATAATAACTGCCTCCTATACCTGGACGTTGGTCTGTTGTCATTGTTCTACGTCAACCGGTGCGGCATGTTTTACTATTTTATGGAGTGATATCTATAAGTGGCAGCTCACAAGTGAACAAACATTAAAGAACCCACCTCAGCTGTCAGGTATTCGAGGATGGCAGCGCTGTAGACTGCAGCAGTGGCCCCCACCCGTCCATGGCTTGTGGTTCGTGTCTTCAGATGACGGTGGATACGTCCGACAGGAAACTGAAAATCGGACACGGGTTACCGTCAACGAAAGTTATCAAAATTGAGAAATAAAGGTATAATATAATCAATAACAAAATACAACACATACAAGCCCACATAAACACTTACCTGAAGACCAGCTCGTGCAGAACGAGAGACGGCTTTCGCTTTCGCTTTTCCAGAATCCTTTCCAGCTTTACCTCCGGGCTGTGAATAAATAATCAAACATCGGTGTGAAAATATTATATAAACTGGCGCCAGTATAAGTAAAAACATGCAATAACCTCATACAACGAATCTAGGTATCGGATGGCTAATCCTGGTTACGATATTGATGGATTTCTGTACCATGTTGGCGGGTAATTCCTTGGTTCAACCAGACGATCAGACAGAATCAACGACAATCTTCCGCCAGCTTCCTTCGGCGTCGGTTTGAATACCACGTGACATATTCAACCAATGAGGTTACCCACACGTTTCCGGCTTGATACCACTGTCTGGCCTGACATACAAGTCACTTAAACCCAAGTGGTTCTCTCCGCAAGCCTCCAGACATCCCATGTTGTTACATGTGGAAGACACATTTAAGTTCAACACAAGAAGATTTACCTCTACAAGACATATATTCATGAAATACGTTACAAGTGCAATATAAAGACAAGGATAATAACCCATCTCTAGCCATGTTGTAGAAAAGTAAAGACAGAGTTGCCTCGCCTGTACTATGAGGAACCTTTCCAACAATGTCTAGAAGTTACACAAAGCATCATAAGACACAGATCGATTTTAGAGACGGCCGTGATTCAGCTTAAGAACACAAACCGTTTCTTTGTGTGCTGACGTGAAAGATTGTCTTGTAAACCCACATGCACTTTATGTGGGATTTGTCTACTGCCAGTTTCAACACAGCAATGACAACTTCTGATACAAAGAAGTGTCAGCGACTTCTTCTACTTCTGCTGCTGCTACTACCCAGTTAAATACCAATGGCGTTGTGATTTTGAAGTGGGGGGGGGGGGGGGGGGGGTGGCTGAGCTGACAAAAAGCCTGCATCTCTGTTTTTATTCAAGCTCCTTACTTACTTAATTATCCCCATCGCACATCAGACGAGTCCGTAAGCGCAGAGATCCCATCTTCAGCATGTCCCTTAGTGTGACCACTGGTAACAGCAATATCTCTATTGTAGTATTTGAATGAACAAGCCACAGGAAGGCAAACGAAGCACATTTTATCGTATAGCAAAGTCACTAGAATGCTGACTGGAGGTGGGAGCGGGGGAGATGGGACTCATTCAGATCTAAATAAAAACTGCACAGCTTCTGTTATGTAAACGACCCTGGGCCAAAATCATCAAAGTCATATCCCTAAATAGCTACAAATTAGACAAGCTAAAACCGACATCGAGGACATGATCACCAGTCAGTACTTCACAGAAAACAATCCTGCATATTCTCTATTGCAGACGTACCTCGGGTCAGGAACTTAATTCATCCTTTGACTCCGTTCGCGAATCAAAACAATTGTTCTCTTTCAAACTAATGCAGATCCAATGAATCCATTTTCCTGCCCCAGAAACATGCGGTTCCAGCTAGTTAGCGTACTTTGATTATTTTCCCCAGGAAATGGCGGCTATTAGGAAATGAACTGGCAGATAGACTGGCTGGTTCTGTGCAGCTTTGTGATAAACAGATGCACTACAAGCTAGTATTGGCAAAGGGTGCTGAGTGCTGCACGGCACTGCTATTTGAGTGCTGCACCGCACTGCCATCTGAGTGCTGCACCGCCCTACCATCTGAGTGCTGCACCGCCCTACCATCTGAGTGCTGCACCGCCCTACCATCTGAGTGCTGCACGGCACTGCAATCTGAGTGCTGCACCGCCCTACCATCTGAGTGCTGCACCGCTCTACCATCTGAGTGTTGCACCGCACTGCTATCTGAGTGCTGCACCGCACTGCTATCTGAGTGCTGCACCGCACTGCTATCTGAGTGCTGCACCGCCCTACCATCTGAGTGCTGCACCGCCCTACCATCTGAGTGCTGCAGCGCCCCACCATCTAAGTGCTGCACCGCCCTACCATCTGAGTGCTGCACCGCCCTACCATCTGAGTGCTGCACCGCCCTACCATCTGAGTGCTGCACCGTCCTACCATCTAAGTGCTGCACCGCCCTACCATCTGAGTGCTACACCGCCCTACCATCTGAGTGCTGCAGCGCCCTACCATCTGAGTGCTGCACCGCCCTACCATCTGAGTGCTGCAGCACCCTACCATCTCAGTGCTGCACCGCCCTACCATATGAGTGCTGCAGCGCCCTACCATCTGAGTGCTGCACCGCCCTACCATCTGAGTGCTGCACCGCCTTACCATCTTAGTGCTGCACCGCCCTACCATCTGAGTGCTGCACCACCCTACCATCTAAGTGCTGCACCGCCCTACCATCTGAGTGCTGCACCGCCCTACCATCTGAGTTCTGCACCGCCCTACCATCTGAGTGCTGCACCGCCCTACCATCTGAGTGCTGCACCGCCCTACCATCTGAGTGCTGCAGCGCCCTACCATCTGAGTGCTGCACCGCCCTACCATCTGAGTGCTGCACAGCCCTACCATCTGAGTGCTGCACCGCCTTACCATCTGAGTGCTGCACCGCCCTACCATCTGAGTGCTGCACCGCCCTACCATCTGAGTGCTGCACCGCCCTACCATCTGAGTGCTGCACCGCCCTACCATCTGAGTGCTGCACCGCCCTACCATCTGAGTGCTGCAGCGCCCTACCATCTGAGTTTACCTTTCCAATACAGACGAATTCTAACAAATAAATGCATAAATCAAAAGAATTATTATTAACACACTGAACGAAACAAAAATTCTACAGCAATGATGTCATAGACACAGCATTTCTAAAAATATTTAAATTAAATAAACATAAGGTAAGCCACACACTTTGGCAACTACGAAGAGTAACTACAGTGAAGAGGCGAAACATGCAATGGTATGGACATGTCATAAGATCTAACGGCCTCTAAAAAACAGTACTAGAGAGCTCAGTTAAGGGGAAGAGGAGAAGAGGCAGACCAAGAAAGATCTTGTTACAGAACCTGACTGACTGAACAGGCCTCAGGCATGCAACCACGAAGTCCATCGCAACTGACCACCAAAGGTGGAGAGAGCTGACCAGACAGTCAACAGAAACTGGTGACCCAACGACACAAAGTGTTACGGGATTATGATGATGAAGCCACACACAAATATACACATACACGCATACACACGCGCTCACTCCCACACACGCACACCCACATACACGATGACATGGAGCCTTGGGGGCCGACTCAGCCATGCATGCAGCAGAACCCGAACCCAGTTTCTCAGACATGACGCCTTAAAGTTGAAGAAAAAAGTCGAGAGGGTCGACTTCATTGCACCGGGTTCTATCCCATAAAGCTCGGTCTCTCTAAGCAGAAAGGCTGGTTTGTGCACGAACTCCGTAGCTCCGGCGATGATTTACAGGGATCTCAGTCAAAATTGCACCCGTGAACAGAAAGTGGTGCTGTCTGTCAGCCTGAGTGATTAATTTCTCCAAAATGTCTCCAATATATGTGACTTGTAGCAAATGATGACAAGATTTCAGTTTCACATTGATAAAACTGCTGAACTGTCCACAAGCCATTTTGCCATGAGCGTGTTCTAAAGCAATGGCACGTAACCGGAACTCATTCTTTCGTTCGCTTGAAACAGTTGATCTATATCTGCCCTGTTGTCTCTAGTCTGAACTTTGTCTTTTGTAATTCACTCAGCGACCCGTAAAGTTTGGCTTGTACCAGTGTCTCTTTTGACCCGAAGTGCTGCTTTGATATGTTGCATTTGGGACAATCTAGGAGGACGTCGTCTGTTCTCAGGTGCCATTCCGATTGTACATATGGCTGCATCGACGTGAGTAAATGTTGTGTACATATAGATGTCTGGACGTTAGTAAATGTTGTGTACATATAGCTGCCAAATCGATTGTGCCCAGCTGATAACTGTATTTGTGACATCAGATTTCACAACTAAATTGCTATCTGCAGAAACTCTGAAATATTTCCCGAGTGCAAACAAGTTGAAGAAAACAGCTTTAAAGACCTGAGAAAACTGTTGTGCTCCGACATATAACAGCCAGTAGTTTCTCGACATTCCGTGGCTCATTTTAAATCATTGTGACAACACTTCAGTGTCGGTGATGTTAATTTCCTTGTGTTTGTGACTTCTGTAAGTTAGAAGGAAATCGGTTAAAGAAAGGAAACTCATGGATGACACCAGTGGAAGACACCATGGGGCACTAGTGGAAGATACAATGGGGCACAAGTGGAAGATATCATGGGACACTAGTGGAAGATACCATGGGGCACTAGTGGAAGATACCATGGGGCACTAGTGGAAGATATCATGGGACACTAGTGGGAGATACCATGGGGCATTAGTGGAAGATATCATGGGGCACTACTGGAAGATATCATGGGGCACTAGTGGAAGATATCATGGGGCACTAGTGGAAGATACCATGGGGCACTAGTGGAAGATACCATGGGACACTAGTGGAGGATAACATGGGGCACTAGTGGAATATACAATGGGGCACTAGTCGAAGATACCATGGGGCACTAGTGGAATATACAATGGGGCACTAGTCGAAGATACCATGGGGCACTAGTGGAAGATATCATTGGGCACAAGTGGAAGATATCATGGGGCACTAGTGGAAGGTACACTGGGGCACTAGTGGAAGATATCATGGGGCACTAGTGGAAGATATCATGGGGCACTAGTGGAAGGTACACTGGGGCACTAGTGGAAGATATCATGGGGCATAAGTGGAAGATATCATGGGGCACTAGTGGAAGACACCATGGGGCACAAGTGGAAGATACCATTGGGCACAAGTGGAAGATATCATGGGGCACTAGTGGAAGGTACACTGGGGCACTAGTGGAAGATATCATGGGGCATAAGTGGAAGATATCATGGGGCACAAGTGGAAGATATCATGGGGCACTAGTGGAAGGTATCATGGGGCACTAGTGGAGGATATCATGGGGCACAAGTGGAAGATATCATTTGGCACAAGTGGAAGATATCATGGGGCACTAGTGGAAGGTACACTGGGGCACTAGTGGAAGATATCATGGGGCACAAGTGGAAGGTACCATGGGGCACTAGTGGAAGATATCAT